CCGAACATTCCCTTTTGTGTCCTCTCCTTTAATGGCTTTTAGTATTTCATTTGCTCGTTCATCAGTCTTGCTTGATGACGCATTATCAATATCATGTTCCATCTTGATTGTTTCCATTCTATTTGACTAGGCATTAGTTCTTACAGCTCACTGCCTGTTTCCACAGAGAAGTCCATCTCAGTGGCAAAGCAGCAAGCGTGCCAGCCGTGTGTTCTGCAGAGCACACGTAGCGACATGAAGCAAAAGAACAAGATGTTTAGAATGGCAGGTTGAAATATCATCCCCAAGAAAGCAAATGGAGCACGGGGCCCTCCAGGTGGTATGTGGCTCCAGCTAAGAAGTCCATTAATGTGGCAGCAAAGTGTGATGTCCTGCATCAAAGGGAAGGCAACACTAGAATAGCTATTGCCAGTTCACACATGTGACCTTTCTACAATCATCTTTCCATGATGAAATGAAATGCCACATATATTAGTGAATTCAGCAACTGGAGGTCTCAGATAGAGCAATCTAGAATATACTCATTCACATAACAATGTATCCCCATTTCCCAAATGTCATGTCTATAGCACATGACTGCTATACTGATGTCAGCTGCCGAAAGGCTACTGCCATCCTAGACTAGGGCACAGAGGTGAAATAGGTACTCGGGGCTAGGCGACAAAGAGCTTGTCTGCTTCTTCCAGCCAATACAATTTGCCTGGCCCAGGTGCCGGCCTTCTCCTGGAAACAGAGAGTAGAGACCAAGGGTCACATTCATGCACAAGCTAAGGAAGCTGCTGTCTAGGGTCTTAAGTTATGAGGAGTATCTAAATGTTTTAAATTTCAGGTTTGATAGAGTGATTTTAAAAGGCATGGCTTTTGGGTTGATGCTCTGGGACTTGATAGAATCTGACCTATTTTAGGGTCTCAGCAAGTATGCGCTAGCAGTGCACCATTGCCTCTAGAAGAAACTGAGTTTAGGGCATCTCAGTCTTCTGCCAAACTGTTTCCAAAGAGGTTTTCACATATATCAAAGGCTCCCTTTTGCAGCAATTCTGCTTAGCCAGAGAAATATTCAGTCTGAGAAAAACCAGAGTTTGGAAAAGCAACTTTTGAGGACTAGAACTCCCAAAATCCTTCAGCCAGCATAGTCACTGTCTTGGGAATTCTGAGAGTTGTAGTTTGAGAAGGACATGTATACCAGAGGCAGTTTCCCTACAGCTATGCTCTTAGGGGATATGTTCTAAAGCTGTACTAGGAGTGGAAGACAGGAGGGACTGGCGTGCTCTGGTCCATGGGGTCACGAAGAGTCGGACACAACTAAATGACTAAACAAACAAACAATAGAATACTGAAGTTGGAAGGGTCCTGTAAGGCCATCAAGTCCAACCCTTGCTTGTTGCAGGAGTACAAATCAAAAGATATCTATCAGATGGTTAAGTTTCTCTTGAATGCCTCCAATGCTGGAGCACTCACCACCTCTGAAGGTAATTGGTTCCACTCTCTTACTGCTCTAACAGTTAGAAGGTTTTTCCTGATATTGAATCGCTATCTGGCTTCCTGTAACTTTAGCCCGTTGCACTCTGGGATGATTGAGAACACACCCTGCCCCTCCTCTATATGACAGCCTCCCAAGTATTTGAAAACTGTTATTATAACACTCCTCTGTCTTCTTTTCTCAAGGCTAAACACACCCAATTATTTCAGTCTTTCCTCATAGGGCTTTGTTTCCATCCCCCTGATCATCCATGTTGCCCTCCTCTGAACTTGTTCCAATTTGTCAGCATCCATCTTGAAGTGTGGTGTCCAGAGCTGGACAGAATACTCAAGGTGAAGCCTATCCAGTGATGAATAGAGGGGGACTAGCACCTCACAGGATTCAGAAACTGCTTCTTTAATGCAGCCTAAAATAGCATTTTCCTTTTTTTGTAGTTATGTCACACTGTTGGCTCATTATCAGCTTGTGATCCACAACAATTCTAAGTCCCTTCTCACTTGTAGTATTGCTAAGAGAGGTATCCCCCATCTTGTATTTGGTTTCTTTTTCCGAGGTGCAGTACTTTGCACTTGTCCCTGCTGAATTTCATTCTGTTGTTTTAGCCCAGTGCTCAAGCCTATCCAGATCATTTTGAATTCTGTTTGTCTTCCAGGATATTAGCTATTCCACCCAATTTTGTATCCTCAAGCATTCCCTGCACACCCTCATCCAAGTCATTAATAAAAATGTTGTTGAGCACTGGGTCCAGGACTGAGCCTTGGGGTATCCCACTTGTTACCTCCTCCCAGTTGGATAAGGAACCTTTACCCGGTAATTATCTCCCTCTGAGTACGATTCTATAACCAATTGTGTTTCCACCTGACACTTGATCTATCCAGCCCACACCTAGCTAGCTTGCTAATCAGGATATCATGGGGCACTTTGTCAAAAGCTTTGCTAAATTCAAGATACACTATGTCTACACCATTCCCTCTGTCTATCAGGGAGGTTCCCTGATTAAAAGATGAGATCAGATTAGTCTGACAGGAATTGTTCTTGACAAATCCGTGTTGGCTTCTAATTATTACTGCATTGTTTTCTAGATGCTTGCATAGTGATCGTTTTATAATTTGTTCCAGGACTATGGAATAGTCCTGATTTAAGTCAAGCAATTTCTGCTTTGATTTGGACACTATCTTTCTACTGATGCAGTGTAGTATAGCATTTGACTTTTTACTGCCATATCATACTGTTAATTCATGTTTAGTTTATGGTCTGCTAAGATATAGAAATTGCAGCATTGTTTTGCAATTGCTCACACTCCAATTGCTTAAGGATCTGTTTTGGTGCCTTTCTTAGTATCGATGTCAAGCTGACTAGTCACTAATTGACTGGCTCCTTTTTTTGCCGTTTCTTGAAAATGGAGGCATTTCCTCAGGGAGATCACATATTCTCCAAGAATTCTCAAAGTTGTAGACAGAGACTCTGAGACTGCAACTGCAAATTCCTTTAGTACTCTCAAATGTCGTTTATCTGGCCAAAAGTCTTGAATCCCTGCAAAGTAATTTGCTATTCCAATGCAATCACTTGGTCTCTACTGGGCAGCAACCCCCTCATTTCCTCTTGTATTCCACTTGAACCCAAGAAGGATTTTTTTTTTCCTTTTTGGTAGAAGACAGAGGCAATGTAGGTATCCAGATATTCTCTTTGTAACTCTCCATCCTCTATATGCAGTGGATATCCCTTCTTTCTAATGACAAAGGAATATCTTAGATATTCTCTTTGTAACTCTCCATCCTCCATATGCAGTGGATATCCCTTCTTTTTAATGACAAAGGAATATCTTATTCTAATCCTGGTTTTATTATTTGATACAGAAAATGCATCTCTCCTGACCGGACAAACCATCCCTTACCCACTTTACTAACAATGAACCCCACAATTTAGTTTAGTTTTGCCCCCAGTCCTGCAATAAATCCTCTACAACATTTTACAGCATTCTTTGTGAACCTTGGGGAGAGAGCCCCAGGCCTGCATACTCCAATCATAAAAACACACTCTTGTTATAATCTAAAAATGTATTGAAGAAAAATTATGGAGAGGCAAAAAAGGCCACAGTTTTGGTTGGTTACCGCAGAGTAGTCTTGGTTTAGCATGAGGGTGACCCAACCACCAGGCAATGTACACAATCCCACACTCTTGATGGGTAACCAAGTATTGGCAGCCAGAATTGGTTATGACTCCCAGGTGCCACTAGGAGGACCCAACAATACCCATGGGGGGGCGCTATGATGGCTCTTCCAAGCCACGCATACCCTTGTAAGCCCCCTTCCCATTTAATCCCTGAACAGATGAGATTCCAAGCCTAGGACAGGGCCAAATGTCCATCTTCCTCACAGAGGATCTGCTCCTATGAAAAATTGCCCTTCCATGTAATCAAAAAGCTGCAATGACATCTACAGGCTTAACTCAACCCATCCACCCCATACTGCTTCTTGCAACCTTATTAACCTTTCTACAATTATATCAAACAATATCACTCATAAAAGAAGGTTGGTCAGTGGGCAAAGTCAAAAGGGATACTGACTGGAGAGAAACTGGGGAGTCGTTTATATACCTCCCTAACAGACCACATCGAAGATTGCTTCTCTCTGGTCCACCACGCAGGCTCAAGCATCCCGTTCCTCTTCTGATTGGCCAGATTTGAATCTTTCCTGACCAATTCCTTTTAGCCAAGCTCCCAGAGATTCTGGGAACATGGCAATCTTCCTCCACACTGCCAGGTCTTCCTGTGTTCCAAACAAGACCCCAGATAATATCAGCTGGAGGACCCAAACTTGTCTTTATTTCCTTGTGAATTGTTCATTGGTGCCTAGCAATTTGCCATTTCAACAGTACAATGGTCATAGTAACAGCAGGATCATAAAACACTCCCAAAACATCACTCAGTAGAACATTTTAAATCACCATCAGCCAGCTGACCATAAACAGGTCCTTCAGCTTCACCATGTTGACAATACATGCAGTGTTCGTTTTGGCAAAAGCAGATAAAACTTTGTTTGCCGTATGTACAAGCATTGCTGCCCTGAATGCCACTGCCGTTTGGGCAGGTGTCTGTCAAGAACACCGGTCAGCCATATCTCTCTGACTTCATTATGCAAACAAACAAAGAAACAAATAAAACACGTTCATGAAAATATAACCAGTGATTATCTGACAATTTTTGACAGGTGTTCTCCCTGGTATTTCACTTCAATTGTAGCTATGCTAGCTAGCTAAGGGATTCTGGGAGTTGTCATCCAAAAAAGTAACTTTTCCAAGTTCTGCAGAGCTCAATGAAAATGCCTGGTTTTTCTTGCAAGAGGCTGGGGGGAGGGAGGGAAGGAGGACTATGTGTTTCTCTTTGGTAAACTCTGAACTTTCAGGAAATCAGTTGGCTGCAGGTGGTGGAAGAATATGTTTTCCTGTCAAATCATTTCCTGCTAGGTTCCATGGGTGCCAAAAGCCAACAACAACCTAAACAATTTGTTCCCTTTGTCAGATGGCCTTGCATCACGCTCAGCGCAAGTTCCGTTTCTCTCTGTACGCTCATATCAAGTTGGACGCAATTAAGCAGGTGAGCAATCTGACCATGCAGGGTTAAAACCATTTCTGGAAATTTTGAAAATAAAGAAAGCTCTTGTTGGAACCGAATAGAAGGGCTGGCCAAAACCTCTTAAGGAAGGAAAATGTTATTGTCTGAAAACAGCAGTAATTATTATCTAGACATTTGAATCTACAAAACCATCTTCCTAACTGCTGGGATTTTCAAATGACACCTACATGCTAGTTAACTCAAAAGAAAAATAATACCCTATTCAGAACAGCTTTTGTTATTCATTCACTTCCATCATCCAGGTTCTCAATCTGTTGTGTAGGTAGCTATCAGGTAATTTTTACCTCCTACCTGAGAGTTAGTAGGATTATTTTTTTTGATTTATTCTCTGCCCTCAGTGGGATGTCCACTGGACACTTAAATATGTGATGCTCTTTAGCAACTCAAAATTAAAAATAATATTATCTGATTCTTACAGCACCACCAACAGTACTTACAATTTTAAGATCTCAAAAGACGGGTTACTTACCTGTAACCATGGTTCTTCAAGTGGTCATTCTGTGAATTCACACAAAAGGGTTAAATCAGCGCCAGCATTGGTTCTGTTGGAATGTTCTTGAGCTTAAGAGAAAAGAAACAGTTTAAGAATGCCTACATTGCGCATGCTCCGACTGCCACCGCCTCAGTTCCATTTATCCGCAACAGGTACCTGAGTAAGAGCCAGGTATAACCAGTGACAAATAGTGGGGAGGCAGGGCGGGATTGTGTGAATTCACAGAATGACCACTTGAAGAACCATGGTTACAGGTAAGTAACCAGTCTTTCTTCAGTGTGGTCTTCTGTGAATACACAAAAAAGGGTGATTAGCACGCTAACTTACTGGATGGAGGGTTGCCACTGAAGAACAGATGTCAGCACCGCTCTCCCAAAGGCAGTCTCCTTCTTAGCCCTCAGGTCTAGTCTGTAGTGGGTAATGAAGGTCAAGACATTTGACCAGGTAGCTGACCTGTAGATATTGGGCACATCAATCCCACGAAGCAAGGCTGTAGATGACGCCATGGCTCTGTAGAATGGGCCCTCAGACCTTCAGGTGGAGTTTTATGCTGAAGTTCATAAGATGATCACTTGAAGAACCATGATTACAGGTAAGTAACCTGTCTTTCTTCAGCGTGGTCTTCTGTGAATGCACACAAAAGGGTGATTAGCACCCTAACTTACTGGATGGAGGGTTGTCACTGAAGAACAGATGTCAGCACCGCTCTCCCAAAGGCGGTCTCCTTCTTAGCCCTCCGATCTAGTCAGCAAACAACATAGGTAACACTAGAGCTTCTTATGTCCAAAATAACACAAAAACAGTTTATTGGAAGATCTAAAACCCTTAGTGCATGAAACATAGAAGGCAAGTGCTCTTCTGACGTCCAGCATGTGGAGCATGCGCTCGGTATCATTAATGGGATCAGCAAACAACATAGGTAACACTAGAAGTTGATTCATATGGAAATCCGTAACAACTTTAGGCAAAAAAGAAACATCTGGGCATAACATTACCTTTTCTTTATAAAACTGTAGAAAGGGTTGATCTTCCCTAAGGGCAGCTAACTCACTAACTCTCCTAGCAGATGTAATAGGTACTAAAAATAAACATTTAAGAGACAAGAATTTCAGGTCACATGTGGCCATAGGTTCAAATGGAGGGCGGGTGAGAACATGTAAAACCAGTTGGAGAGACCATTGAGGAACTGGAGGAACAGGTGGTCTCAAATTGGTAAGTCCTTTGAGAAAAGCCTTAACTGTTGGGTGAGAAAACAGTCGGGAGGAAACAGTCCCGCGGTTGGAAGGAAGCAACTGCCGCGGTGTAAACCTTGAGGGTGGAAACAGACAGGTTAAAGTCAAACAAATAACACAAAAATTGTAGCAATATAGACAGAGAAACAGGGGATGGTGTTAGTCCCCTAGCTTCTGTAAATTTCAGGAAGCTTTTCCATTTATAACCATACAAAAGGGCGGTGGAAGGTTTTTTAGCCCTATCCAAAACTTCTTTTATTTCTGGAATACTCTCCACGCTGTTAGATGTAAAGTCTCTAATTCTGGGTGGAATATTTTGCCCCTGTCCTGTGTTAGCATGCTGGGATAGCAAGGGAGTTTCAGATATTCTGAGGCCATCTGCATCAACGTCGGAAGCCGTCGAAGACGTGGCAATAGAAGGCGCTTTTTGAGAAGCAGTCTTGTATTGTTTGTATTGTTGGGAGGGCTGGTAATATTGACCATAAGGTTTCCTCCACTGGTATTTGTTGTATCTAGATTGCGGTTAGATGTAATAAGACTTAGCAGTCTTCTTTGCCTTATGCAGGTCTTCTGGTGACCGTCTGTCTTTTCGTTGAAGAGGCCAGAAGCATCAAAGGGTAAGTTCTCCACCTTAGCTTTGACATCTTCAAGAATGTTAGCAGCCCTCAACCAGGCATGCCTTCGAAGTGAAACTGCAGATACTAGCACTCTAGAAGCTGCCTCTACAGCATGTCCTGTGGACAGGCGTTGATGCTTGGACACCGTCTGGGCTTCCTCATAGGTGTTCATGAAGCTCTGCCGGACATCTTCAGGTAGCATTTTGAGACCAGGTAAAATTCGTAACCACAGTTGCTTCTGATAAGCCCCTAAGGCTGTCTGATAGTTAGTGCCTCTCAAAAGGAAGCATATGTTCTTTCTGCCCAATTCTTCCACCTTTTTTCCTGCCTTGTTTGTAGGGGTGACATGCGATTTCCCCGTAGGCCTCGTGCAACTGGTCTCCACAATCAACGAATTAGGGATAGGATGCTTCAGCAGGAATTTAGTATCAGCACCATGTACTCTGTAAAGGTTTTCAGTGCGTCTAGAAATTGGGAGAGTCGAAGAAGGTTGATCCCACATTTCTTTTATAATTTCTAATAGTGCAGGGAGAAAGGATAGACTAGGAGGCGGAGAACGTTCTTGGTTAATGTCTCCAAAAATGAGGTATTCTTTAGGGGGCACAGGTTGGTCAACATCCAACTTTAATATTTTAGCCAGTCTTGAGAGCATTTGTGTGTAGGAGGAAAAGTCCTCCGATGGGGAAGAAGCGTGCAGATCTGCTGTGTCCGATTCAACTACTTCACCTTCCGGCAAATCCCCTTTTGGAGGTTGGTCAGGAGCCCCTTCCTCGGAATCAGAAGGCTGTGATGAAAAGGGGGCATCATCATCCGAAACCTCTAAGTGAGGACGTTTCAGTGGCCTGCGGTCGACATCGTTTGTAGACGATGATGTTTGCTGTGCAGGTTGTACAGTTGACGTCGAAGGCACAAGAATAGGCACCCTAGGCTGTGGAATGGAGGGTGCACTAGGTAGGGGCGCTTCGACACTGAAGGTCTTTCAATGCCGATGTTTCTTTGGAGGCGTCGGGGTCGAAGAAGAAGAGGAGACATATACGTATTTGGCTCTCTTTCGGCGTCAACATCGATCCGTTGAAGTAGATGACTCGGAAGTGGAGTAATCCCTACGACATCGATGGTGGCGTCTCTTCCGATGGGACTTGGAGTCATCTGAGTCTTCGTCAGAAGAAGTGTCCTGTCAACGTCGAGAATGTTGACGACTGACAATCACCTCTCGACACGGAGATCGATGTCAATCTTTCGAATGTCTCTTGTGTTTGGTAGGCTTATGAGGTGGAGATTTTGACCTCAAAGCAGCAGATGAAATAGAGCGAGCCAAAGATACTTGCCCCACAGAAACAGGGCTGTGTGGAGCAGAGGTTAAGCCTGCAGTAGCGCTAACTAGTTGGCTCGGAGAGGAGACGCCCGCCGGCAAAGTTGGCTCAGCCTGTCGAGGAGTTAGTGATTGAGGTACCTCCGACAGCGAATCTCTGTCCCTCGAGGAATCCCCCAAAATCGGAGAGGGAATAGAAACAGACAATGGTGGCAATTGTTTAAAGCTCTCTTTGCCTTTAGTAGTGGGCTTGTTCTTTGGCTGTTTTCCAGGTTTCGGCGCTGAAGCGGATTTCTGGGTTGCAGCCTTCTTAGGAGCAGACTTTTTTTAGGCTTCTCTGCCCGCTTATCAGCAGGTAAGATGGGGATTTCTGGGTTGCAGCCTTCTTAGGAGCAGCCGTTTTTTTAGGCTTCTCTGCCGGCTTATCAGCAGGTAAGATGGGGAATGAATCGCCCTCAGGACGAGGGGTGCCTGAGATTGAAGGCAGCTCCATAGAGGCAGGCTTGGAAGATGACAGGGTGAGATCCCACAAATGATATTTCAATTGCTGTTTCCTGGCTTTAAGCGCTGCTTTGGTGAAAGCTTTACAATGCTTGCAGGTTTGAGTTAAGTGAGCCTCCCCCAGACAGAAAAGACAGCATTCGTGTCCGTCGTGGAAGGGGAGCTTCCTATCACAGTCCACGCAACAGCTGAAGGGGCCTGAAGGGGACATAGGAGAAAGGCGCCCTGAAATCTGACTGCAATAGCCAGGAAAAAAGGGCGGGGGAAAAGTCCGATATAAGCCAAGTCTGATGGGCAAGGAGTTTAGCGAAAAGCAAAAAGCGAAAAAAACGCGTCAGGGCAGGAGAGAACAGTGTAGTCAGTCCAGGCAGAGTCAAAAACCCGTGAAATATCCAGATATTTAGCAAGAAAAATAGCGAAAAATAGAGGATCTTGAACGAGAGGTTCCAAACCGCTTAGCGGAGAAATGGAACTGAGGCAGTGGTGGGTGGAGCATGCACAATGTAGGCATTCTTAAACTTTGTTTCTTTTCTCTTAAGTTCGAGAACATTCCAAGAGGACCAACGCTGGCACTGATTTAACCCTTTTGTGCACATTCACAGAAGACCACGCTGGAGAACCTTAAACATTCATGTGAAACTCCAAAGATGGCTCCTGCAAATTTGGCCTGAACAGTCCCCAGAGGTAGTAGATTAGCATAGGCGAATATTTGAGAGCCATAAAGCATTTGTGAAATAACCTGGCCTTAAAAACTTATATCGCCGATGGAACATGTTTACCCCCTTCAGTATGAAAATATCTTACAAGTGCTACAGTATTTTTCTGGGCGCTCATTGCTGAGTGGTTTACATGAGTAAGCCAGGATCCTGAGGAATGAAAAACTATGCTGAGATATTTGTAGCATGCTACCTGCCCTACAGGGTGTCCATTTAGAGACCATTTATGCTTTATTCTCCTTCTGCTAACAACCATAACCTTGGTTTTAGCATAGTTAATTATTAGTTGTTCTTTATTGCAGTAGGAGGAGAAGGATCTCAAAAGTCTTCTAAATCCTGCGCACGTTGTTGACAATAAAATGGCATAATCAGCATAAAGTAGGATTGAAATTGGGCTAGAGGCAAGTTTGGGTTGGTGCCCATGTGGTTACACCAAGGGGATTCCAGCCACTGTCTTCTAGTAAATTTCTAGCATAGGTTTTCTGGCTTTTTCTTTGCCACCACTAATCTGTTCTGGAAAGATGATTCTTAATTGCCAAGAAATGTGCCCAGACATTCTGGTGATGCTGAGCATCAGCTGGATTCCAAACTCACAGTCCAGAGTGGGTAGGTATGGTTGAAGAGGAGATTGAGGAGGCAGAAATTGGTTATCTCCACCTGCCATCATCCTTTTAATCTTCACCTACTCAATATGATATGTAAGGATGTTCATAGAATGCCCCCCCCTCTCTCTCTCTCCCTCTCCTTCTGGCTGCCTAGTGTTCTGTGCTAACAGTACAGTTCCCTTTGCTCTTCCTTTCACATTTGGTTCCAAAAATATTTAATCAAACAGTGTGCCACTCTCCTAATAAAAAGACCACTAATGGAAAGAATGTATTTTCCTGCTTTGTGTAGACACAAGAATAAATAACTTTTGACAGCAGTAGATTAAGAATGTATTGATTGCTACTGTAGTCAATTTTCAGTCCTCAGAAAAAGAAAGAAACTTGTACAGTAACTTTTACCTGTAGAGTTTACTGGTAACCTCTTGGTATATTGAATTGCCTTGAAGTTAAAGGAGGGTGTTTGTGCCTGGTATTTTATATATCGGGCCAGAGACAGTAGCCCTGTGTTGCTTTAGAAATGAAAGCATTGATCTTGTATTCTATCAAACGCTACACTCAGCAGATCAAGTGGTAATTATGCAATGTATTAGTACTTCTGTGCCTCCAACATCCACACCAACCCTTTGAGCTGTTCTTAAACTCAAAAGGTGCCGGCAAAATAACCTGCAATGCGGTCTACTTTCCACTCTTGCTCTGCTGTCTGGTTAAGACTGTCTCTTCATATTTTGTGAAATAAATAACAAGCTCTAAAATCAGCAGATGGTTTCCCTACCTTTGTCACCATGACCAGCAGCTATGCTGCTGATGGGATGCTTGGAGTTATAGTCCAAAAAAAAGAGACTTTTTCAAGTGTTAAGTCACTGTAACTTGGCTTACAGTGAGAGAAACTTCCATCTGGTAAGTACTAATGACTAGAGCTGGCACAAGATGGTTCTTCTTTCTGGGGTGAGGAATACCTTCCCATTCTTCACTCCAAAACCCATTGGGATGGTAGCTGAATCATAGTTTTATTCTTCTTGTAGGAGAGTATCTTCCTAGTTTAGGAGGTTCAGAACAGGCTATATGACAGACAGTTCTGTCGCTCAACAGAGGAGGACTACTAGTTCCCAGCATTACGACCTGAGATAGTTGCACCCTCCTGCCTAGTGGTAGGGACAAACCTGCTTTTGACAATGTCAAACTGCAAATATAAATTTGAAAATATGGATGTGCAACTACCATGTGTTCCATGAACAACAACAACAACATTATGTGAAATTCTTCACGTTAAAATATTTCCCCCCTCTTCCCAAACAATGAGTGTGCCTCAGAATGTGAAATGGCTCAGGCCTCATCTGGGCCTAGGTGGGTGCACAGTGTAATGATTTGGTCTTTCATTAGCAATACTGTGCTGTTGAGTACATTGGTAACCTCCAGGTGCCTCATATGCTTGCACAGACTAACATGGCTACCTCTTCTGAAACTCCAGGGGTAAAGTTACTCTTTCAGTAATCAAAAGCATGTTTGCACACTTTTTTTTTCAAGCCTTCTTTCAGCTAGAACCTGCTATCATTCCAGTCAGGAAGGGAGAAACAAGTCGCAGGGTGAGTTTGTTGTTCCCATGTCAACAAGACAGGCCTGCACTGTCACGGGAGGAGACACTTCCTCTCAGGCTTCCATCTGTTGACACCAAAAGGAAAGGAGGGGTGTGTGCATGTGTGTGTGTTTATACAGCAGATGTACAAAGAAAGAGGGAAGGAGAAAGACCCCCGGGACTCTTGTTAGTTAAACAAATAAGGAACAAGGTTTTTAAAAAGAAAAATGCAGCTGAGGGGGCATAGATCACACAGTGCACAATGACAGGATTGGAGGACTCATCTAGGTGGGCACATTTAGCTTTCTTTGCTTCAGTGTCATTATGTGTATTACAGGCACATAAACCATTATCTTACATGGCATGCTGAGCATGGCAGGGCTACTATCATTCCTCAGTAAATATGATGGGCCACTCCATTTTGCACATTATGTCAGCTTCTTGATGGCTTCAACCTAAGAAAAAGGTATCTCCTATATTGTGATAAGCAAGCTCAGTGTCATAGGTTGTGTTGACATGGCACAAACTAGACACAGAAAAAGAAAGAAATGAACTACGTAAACTCTGCCACTTTCCAAGGGACTTAGGTACAACTGTTTCTGTATTCCATACCAGAAAAAAGAAAAGAAAAGCAGTCTAGCAATGATGGCAGCTTAGAGACTGATAGCAAAAGACAGGGGCAGAAGCTGTTTTCTGCATATGAGATAGACCAAGGCAAGGCTGACCCTCCCACTAGCAATGCTGAGAGATAGCACTGGCTGATTCTCCCTATACCTCTGTGGGGTTATGGAACTAAACAGGACATGTGCCACATGAGCCGTCCAGACATGCCTGCTACCCACCGGGGTGATGGAGGGCATCAAAAACAATAATTGAAATAAAAATGTTGAATAAATAAATAAAT